CACACAGCCTCTTCCCAATATGCGTTTTTGCAATTTACATATATGCAAAAACGCATAAAAATGAAATCTGTTTTGCGGCAATGAGCACGCAGCAGATTGATGTTGTCATGATTGTTCGTCTTTTCATTGAAAGTCTTAAGATAGACTACTGGGAAGACGCAAAACCGTTTGCTGTGGAGAACGTTCACGTTGGAGCCAATCACAGCGAAGTAGTGCTTTATGGTTTAAAACCGATCACGAACTATACGGCGCATATTCGAACTGCTAATCGTCGTTATCTCAGTGAATCACCGGCAGTAATCAAATTTACTACTCCGGAAGGAAGTAATCGTCCTCAGTTGTGATTTGAAACAAAGCTTGAATGAGTTTCAGATTTCTTTTTTTAGAACTTTTCAATTTCTGTACGTTTTTGCTGTGCAGCGAAAACGCATAAAAATTGAAAAGTTTTTACAGCCAGTAAAAACGCATACTGTGGAGAGGTCTGTGTGTATGTGTGTGTGTGCGCACGTTTGGAAGCAAGTGAATTTTGTCATCCATTTTCATCTCAGCAACCGCAAAAGCTGGGAGGCTGAAATTTTAGGTATTTGTTCCCACCCCGTGTGCCACCCTCTCGTTTTGAAATTTTTTCCCACACGTGCCTAGACCGCGCGTACGGACTACCGGAAAAAAATATGCAAATTGCTTTGACGAGAAATGATTTCGCGAACCAGGCAACGTACAAAGCTGAAACTTTGCAGGAATATTCTCTGTGCATGTGCGAGCTAAGGGTTTCAAATTTAGCTGTCGCGTACGTTTGTGCAGCGCGTACAATCACATCCAGTTTTGCAACTTGGTACTGTGCTAACTCGAAAATTTACCAGAAAACAGTGGCTGAAATTTTGTCAGCATGTTTGTCGCCCATATGGGAAATCGTGTACGCAAATTGAGTTCCGATTTGCACTTGCGTCACGGCTTAGGGCATTTCAAAGATGTGTGTAGAGAAGCGGCTATTTCGCTTACTGGATAAGGTGCAAGGCTAAGGCTTCGCTGAGATATTCTACTTTCATGTGCGGTCTGAATTCTGCTTGGAGGTGAAATTCCCAGCAGGTGGGCGTGAGAAACACCTAACTTTACCGAAAAATCAGAAACGAGTGCGTTTTGCAGCCAAAAACCGCCCCCATCCAAATATGTAAATGAACATTCAGGTCATTTGCATGGATTTTTATGCGCTTTTTGCCTATATGCAAATTGCAAAAACGCATATTGGGACGACCCTGTCTGTGTGTGTATGTATG